AATCTAATAGCATATTAAGAGGCTATACACCATGACTAAGATTATACCAGAAACGGAAGGGTGGTTCAACATACAAAAATCAAACAATGATATATACCTCATTAATAGAACTAAGAAGGAAAAACCTCACATGATCATCTCAGAAAAGGCATTTGAAAAAACAACACACTTTCATGATTAAAACATTATTCTGGGAATAGATACAAGGATTCTAGAAATAATCTAGGTATAGGAAAGTACTTACTCTACATCATAAAGGGCATTTTTGAAAAACCCACAGTCAACGTCCTATGCAATGATGAAAGACTGAAATCTTTCCCCCTAAGATCAAGAACAAGACAAAGATGTCCACTGTCATTACTGCTATTGAACATTGTTCTAGAAGTTCTAGCCAGAGCAGTTAGACAACAAAAAGAAGTATTAGGCATCCAAACTGGAAAGGAAGAAGTAAAACTATCTACATCCACAGATGACATGATCCTATAGATAGAAAACCCAATGAAGAAAGAATCCACAAGAGAGTTAATAAAGGAATTTAGCAAAATTAAAGTGTAGAAGATCTACACATAAAAATCAGTTGTGTTTCTTTACACTAGCCATGATCAACCTGATAAGAAAATTAAGGAAACTATCCAATTTACAGTTGCATCCAAAAGAATAAAATACATAGAAATAAAACAAGAAGGTGAAGGACTGTACACTTAAAATTATAAACACTGAGGAAAGAAATGAAAAAACCTGGGTGGCTCTGTTGGTTGGGTGTCTGACTCTTGATTTCGACTCAGGTCATGATCTTGGGATCATGAGGTTGAGCCCTATGTCAGGCTCTGTGCTCAACAGAGAGTCTTCTTGGAATTCTCTCTCTCCCTCTCCAATTGCCCCCTTCCCCCTACGTGCATACTCTCTCTCTCTCTAATAAATAAATAAATCTTTAAAAAAAGGAAGAAATGAAAAAAGACATAAATGAATGGAAAGACATCCCTTGTTCATGGGTTGGAAGACTAATAATTGTTAAGATGGCAATACTACCCAAAATGTTCTAAAGAATCAAGGCATTTCTTATAAAAACTCCTATAGTTTTGTTTTGTTTTTTAAGAAATGGAAAAGCCCATCCTCAAATTCAAATGGAATTGCAAGGGATCCTGCATAGCCAAAACAATATTGAAATGGAAGAACAAATTTGGAGGACTCACACTTCCCAATTTCAAAACTTCTTACAAAAGCTACAATAATCAAAACAATAATCAAAACAATGTAGCATAAATACAGACAGATAGGCCAATGGAATTAAAGTGAGAGTCCAGAAGTAAACCCATGTATCTGTGGTCAATTGATATTCAACAAGCGTGCCAAAACAATTCAATGAAGAAAGAATAGTCTCTTCGATAAATGGTATTGGGACAACTGGATATCTACATATAAGAGAATGAAGTTGGACCATTACCTCACACCATATACAAAAACCAACTCAAAATGGATCAAAGACCTACACACAAGAACAAAAACTATACAACTCTTAGAAGAAAACATAAGGGTGTATATTCATGATCTTGGATTTGGCAATGGATTCTTAGATATGACAACAAAAGCATGAACAACAAAAGAGAAAATAGATAAATTTGTCTTCATCAAAATTAAAAACTTTTGTGCATCAAAGGACACTATCAAGAAAGTGGAAAGACAAGCTACAGAATGGAAGAAAAAATTGCAAATCATATTCTGATATTATCCAGAATATATATGAAAAACTCTTACAACTCAACAACAAAAAGACAACTCAATTTAAAAATGGGCAGGGACGCCTGGGTGGCACAGTTGGTTAAGCATCTGACTTTTGATTTCCGCTGGGGTTGTGATCTTTGGGTCCTGGGATCTAGCCGGCATCGGGCCCCCTACTTAGTGTGGAGTCTGTTTGACATTCTCTTCTGCCCCTCCCACTTGTGCTCTCTTTCCAAAATAGATAAATAAATTTTTTAAAAAGTGGGCAAAGAATCTGAATAGACATTTCTCCAAAGAAGATATACAAGTGGACAATAAGCACAAGAAAAAATGCTCAACAGCATTATTCACTAGGGAAATGTAAATCGAACCTACAGAAACCACTCACAAGCACTCGGATGGCTATAATCAACTAAATGGAAAATAAGCATTGGCAAAGATGTGGAGAAATTGGAACCTTTGTTCATATTGGTGCAAATGTAAAATGATAGCAACTCCACCCCTACTTATATACCCAAAAGTATTGAAAACAAGTACACAAATACTTGGACACGACTGTTCACAGTAGCACTACTCACAAATGCCAAAGGTAGAAACTCAAATGTCCTTCAGCTGATAAATGATCAACAAACAGTGGTCCAAATATACACTGGAATATTATTCGGCTATAAAAAGTAATGAAGCACAGATTCACATTACAACATGGATGAATCTCTAAAACATTATGCAAAATAAAAGAAGCCAGACACAAAAAAGGCCACATACTGTACGATTCCATGTATAAGCAGTATCTATAATGGACAATCCATATAAGATGGAAAGCAGACTGGTTGTTGCCAAGAGGAGAGAGGAGGGATGAATGGGGGAGAATCTGCTTTAAGCGTTTGAGATTTCCTTTTGGGGTGATGAAAATGTTTTGGAGGTAATGGTTGCACAACACTGTGAATACACTAAATACCGTTGAGTTGTATACTTGAAAATGGTTAACTTATGTGAATTTCATTTGATTAAAAAAAAGGAAAATATAAGTATATAGCTGTAAACAAATACATACATACATTTATCATGCATACATAAAAACCCAAAACCCCACAACTCGTGTCGGGAACTGGGGTGGTCCCTTTGGTTCTGGTAATGATTTCTTTGATGATTTCCCCACTATTCTCTCTTCTTTTCTGGAAGTCCTCTTAGTCAGATGTTAGCTTCCTAGATTGATCTTGTAATTTTCTTATATTTTCTCTCGTCTGTGTTCTACCTTTTGGGAGATTTCCTGGACTTTATCTTCCAATGACTTCACTCATTTTTATTTGGGCAAATTGTATTTTTAATTTCTTAACCTTCCTTTCCTTATGGCATCCTGTTCTTGCTTCCCAAATGTAGTGTCTTCCCTCCTCTCTCTGCAGAAGTAGATATGAAGTGAAGCTTTCTGCTGCATCTCTGTGTCTCCTCTGTGCCCCTTCGCACGGGAGACTGCCCCAGCTGTCTTTCATCCTAACATACCTGACACGAGCCGAGGTGCAGATGGGGAGTGAGGCTCCTGGCCGATGATGGCTAGGGGTCACTGCAGGGTGACACTGGAGGCTGTCCTTGGCTTTTTCCTTGACAGCCAATGACCTTTTCTCTGGAGTGGTTCCATTTTTCCCAACAAGACTCCTCAACCTCTGTGGGGGGGGGGGGGCGGAGGGGAGCAGTAAGGGTCTAAGAGCCAGGTTCTCCTGCGGTCCCATGTGTCCCCTCTCTCTGGACACCCCCAGGCTCTGAATGGCTCGTGTCAGACCCCTTCCACTGCCTCACAGCCCACGTCTCGGCTTTCCACCTTCTTGTGGTGGCCAGTGAGGATGCTGACTCCGTGGGTTCTCAGTTGTGTTTCTGTTGTATTCCTGATAGTTTTGTGGACAAAGGGCCAAAGGTTTTTTTCCCACCATCTTGGAAATCAAAGTTCTGTTGGCTTTTATAAACAATATTCTTTCAAAAAATACATGAAAGCAGTCCATTTTTATGGTAAAAAACCAACCAACCAACCAACAACACAGGACTCTCTGTTGAAGAGTAAAACCTCCCCTTGAGAGGAGGAGAACCTGGCCTCTGCCAGTTAACTCCCGATTTTACAAAGGCTTCCAGAGGTGTTTTATGCAAATGCAAGTTATGTATGGTTTTTTCTCTTTTCTTTCTTTTATTAAACACAGACGGAACCATACTGTATATACTGTTTTGTGCCTGTCTTTTTTCTATTTTTAAGCAACATTGTCTTAAAAATTTTCCTCTTGAGATTTAGCTGTGTAGTACTGAAGTCTTAATTCCTGAAGGATTTGAGGGCTCCTTGCAGATAAACCCCAGATTTGCAAAGGTAGTGGGTGCAGGGCAGAACATCTGTCACTTTGCTGCAAACTCTACTCTGCCCCCATGAGCCAGTATCAGCCGAGACACTGAACCCTTTCTCTCGTGACAGCCTCTTGTTGCACTAGTAGGTAACTCTGTTCCATGGAGGGTAACTATATAGCCTCGCAGAGGTAATGGTTTAAAATTGTCATGGAAGGGGTTCTGTTCTAGAGGGGAACATGGAAATTTGTGACTTGGGAAACCACACTGTCAAGCAGGGATAAGAGTATCAGGAAAGGTAGATTGTCTTGACTCCTCTAAATGGCTAGAGTGTGCAGGGGACCCCAGTGTAGTTTCCAAGGAAGGCTGCATTTTTAGGGCAAGGGTATGTATATGTCAGTTACTTAGCCACTTCCAATTTTTGGTGGGTTGAAAGTGGGGTAAAAATAAGCATAGGCACGTGCTGGGTTTTTAATTCTCCTTTGCTTTCCATTATAAATAAAAAAATGTTAAGGTAGTTATTAAGAAAGTGATAGTGGTTATTTTCAAAATTTCTTGAGTATGAAATAGTTGAACTGTGTAACTTTCATTTTGGTCTGGGAATGGATTCAGTATTTGTGCAGCTCTGTTTGGAATTCGCCCCCAGCCCAAGCACAAATGCTGTATGGATACCGTATCATGGAAGCTGGGTGGCAGAGCCATGTGAAATTAAACCTCGCTTTTGAGTTTGGAAAATATGCAAAAGGTCAACTTTAATCATACAGTATTGCTTCACAATAATCAATCTATGGACACTGCTGTTATGTTGATGTTCAGTAGGTACCCCCAGCACTTGAAGGGGGTGCCCTCTGGTAGAAGCTTTAGAACAGAAGCGGGCTGGGACCCCGAACTGCGGTGGTCTGCATGTCACCGGGCAGGTGTGCGCACCCCCAGGGGGTTCCTCAGTGCTCTTCTCTCTGCAGGGTCGCGAGGCCTTGGAGTGGGTGATCGGCCGACTTAACACGGAGTTGGAGGGCCTGGCAGCCCCCGCCTGCACCAGAGCGTGAAGCCGCCCCCCCCCCCCCCCGCAGCGTCTGGACCCGGAGTCGCAGGTCCAGCGAAGGTGGCAGGCGATCACCCCCCACCCCCTGCCGGCCCCCTGCAGGGGACTGCGCGCGCTCGCCCACGCTTGTCTGTCGGAGGGAGCATTCGTGATTAGTGCATGCCTAGAGACATTTAGGAAAGGGACTCTGGGGGAGGAAGTGAATTTGCCACATCTTGGCCTATAGCTTACCTTCACCTTTATCTTTACTTTTTTTTTTAATGGAAAGTTTTGTTTAATAAACAAGTTAAATCTCTAATATCCCTTCCCCAGAAGCCAAAAATATCAGAGTGTAAAAGGGAATGGCTTTCTCCCAGCGTTCACATAGAAGTTTCTCGTGGGTTTTGATCCTAAGTTTTCTGTGATCACAACCCCAGGAGATTACGGGAGGCCCGCCCCCCACCGCGCCAGCTGGGGGCCTCTGCGCTGTGCTCGGTGCTGACGGGCCCCTGCTGACGTTTGGTGACATTCCACAAATGGAACAGTGTTCTGCATGCATGCTGACTTTCCAGATTTTATCTTCCACTGACCACAGAACTTAGATTTAACTTAGGATATGGGTTTTTAATTATATGCATAAAGCAAATAACATAAAGCATCCCTATTTCATTTTAGTTTCTGAACATGAAATAGGATACCTTTTTCCTTATGTTTTAACTAAACCAACCAGTTTAGTTTTTAGAAGAGAAAGGACTATCAGGAGAAACTAGTTATTTTGATAATGTCATATTACTTGCTTTATTTTCTTGCCCAAAGTATAGAAATAAATCCAGAATCCTGCTGCCTTTCCTTCGTTTCCAGTGTTGCATCCTTGTTATTGTGGCCCTTGAGTTTGGTAGGAATAAAAGTTAAATACATTAGTTACTGTGACCACTCTTCAGCTACACCAGAAGTTACTGGGATGCTGCTTCCTCTGGGAAGTTGGGCTTTCTAAAGCGGTGTGAGCACAACAGGCCATCCTATGGTCTTTGCGTGGTACCCACCTTCTGGTTAAGTAGCTGCTTCCAGAAGGTTCTTCTAGAAGCAGAGCCAGGTGCTCTCTGGAAACAAAGTTTGTTTCCCTTTTTTGTAGGAAAAGTGGTTGTACTACGTATTCTTTGAAGACTGTTCCACCCATTTGGTGTTAGATCCAACTATTAAAACTGTATCTGATTTGAGCCTGTGGTTTTTTGGCTTCTAAAGAGTAGATGACTCTGCCTCCAGCATTTCTGCCCTCACATTAAGGAAGGGTTAGGCATACTTTGATATAGGAGTTAATTGCTGGGTGTCTCTGTTGTGAACTTCATCTTTTTCCCCTGAAGAGTCTTCCCTAGCAGATCTCTCCTTATGGCTGAGCCTTAGTGAAGCCCGATATATTCAGAACAGGTGCTCATAGGTTCTGTTACAGTTCAGGATCCAAAGAAGCAGCGGGGTGATTTATTTGGGTGACTTGGCAGCTGGGGAGGGTACCCTTTGCATGCCAGCTGTCGGATTATAGCTATGCGGGGGTACATCTGGACCAGTGTGTGACCACCGAGCTTCAGTTTCCTCATCAGAAAATGCAGACACTGATACTACCTCAGAGGATGGAAACAGGGAGCGGATGGGCAGCACCTCAGTGCAGCCTGGTGGCACGTTGGCCCATGGTGCTGCTAACTGCCGGTGCTGGCCCACCCGTTGGGCCGCAGAGTCCCGTGGGGGGCACCACTGTGCGCGGCTGGAATTGGGAACACTGGGCTTCATTGATGGAACATACTTTTTTTGTCATGCATGTATTTTCACTTTTATAATCACTGAGAAGAGTTAACTGTCAGTGGTAAAAGAGGCAAGTGGGAGGACATTCATGAGTCCTAACTTGGGACTGATTTGGATTTCTGGCCTTGACTGCTCATCATGCTATATGCTTGTCTTCCACTATTACAAGACAGCTTGCTTAGGGCAGGGCTTGGCAGACTATAGCCTATGAGCTAAGGACGGTTTTTGCATTTTTAAAGGGTTGTAAGTAACCCCCCCCCGCCCCCGCAACACACACACACACACAGAAGAGGATGCCGCAGAGACCATATGAGGCAACCATGCCTATTATTTACTCTCTGGCCCGTAAAGCTGACCCCTTTCTTGGGGATTCCACTGCATCTCTCAGTGAGCATGAATAAAACTAGGTTTGTTCCCTTTCACCCAACTGCTTTCTGTTCCCCCAGTGCTAAATAGTGCACTTCCATTTTCCAAATACAAAACCTCAGTTATTTAAGACTTCTTCCTCCTGCTCTTTCTCTCTCTAGCCATTTGGAAACCAAACCTTCCTTTAAAAGGTCTCAGGGCAATTCTGTGCCTTCTCATTTTCACTGGCGCAGTCTGCTTTAGGTGCTTATCACCTTATGCCCATCAGGAGGGCTGGCCACGTCCCACGTGGTCTCCTCCCACACCGAGCAGTATGTGACTGGTGGGATGCTGCAGAATATTCCGCGATGCTCCATGACTTCCCAGGCCAGGCCATAGGAGACACTGTGACTTGTACCTTGCTCGCTCGTGCATCACCTGCTCTGGGGTAAGCCAGCTGCCAGGTCATGAATGACCAGGGGAGCCCGACAGGGAGATCCATGTGGTTAGGAGCTGTGAGAAGGAGCCTTCTTGGAAGCGGATCTTCTAGCCCCAAGGAAGCCTTGAGCTAACGACGGGCACAGCTGACATCTTGACTGCAACCTCATAGGATGCTAGGCCAGGACCACCTGGCTAAAACTGCTCCTGATTTTCTGGCCCACGGAAGCTTGTGAGATAATAAATGTTTCTTGTTTCAAGCCACAGTGTCTTGGGGTAGTTTGTTATGTAGCAAGAGATAACTAATATTTCATTTTATATTAAATTTGTACAACCACTTTCATTCGGTTCCACTTCTTGTTGACAAATCATTCCAGAATAATCTCATTATAACTTTCCCTGAATAAAAAGTTACAGAGGTTTCTCATTCCTTTTTGGAAAAAGTCACAACCAGGCCTAGGCATTGGCCCAGATGACTCGGATGCCGGTGGGCAACAGGTTGCACTGTGGGGAATACTGGGTCTTCCCCCTCCTCTAAACCCACTTGAACACCTGCTTCCATGAACGTGTCCTTGACTGATACCAGCTCACAGCTTACTATCTATTCCTAGACGTTTATGCTCCCCCAGGACTATTTTTTTTAAATCTGTTCACATATTTGGCCAACCAGTTTACAGTTCCTCAGGAGCCAAGAGCAGACACTCTGCTTCGCACACACAATTCTGGGCATCCATAAGTGCTTCAGTGGTGCGGGAACTGGATTCAGAACCCTAGCAGCTAATAGGAAACACAGCAGGGCAATGAGCCCAGCTTTGGAATTGGAGATGGCCTCAGGCCCGATGCTGGGCTGCTCTGACCTTGGGCAAATGACAGCTTGTTATTCCTGTTTCGCATCTGTGAGAGAGGATGGTAACAACGCCTACTTCAGAGCTGAGTATTAAGGGAGATATTATATCTGATATAGGGTATGTACTCAATCACTGGTAGTTCATTAGTAGCTACTGAAAATCAAAATATTTTAAAAATTATGTATTAATAGTAACACAGCACAGAATATTTACTATCATAATGCTTATCTCCATAGCTTTCCTTATACCCCTTTAATGACCAAATTGTTTTACTGTGACAAATTGAAAATACAGTTGGCCCTTCAACAATGCACGAGTTAGGGGCACTGATGCCCACCCCCAGTCAAAAAGCCCCATATAACTTTTGACTCCCCCCAAACTTAACTACTACTAATAGCCTATTGATTGGAAGCCTTACCAACAACATAGTCAATTAACACATATTTTGTATACATATCCTATACTGTATTCTCACAATATAGTAGGCTAAAGAAAATACTCAGAAAAGCATAAGAGAAAATACACTTAAAGTACTCTACTGTATTTATTAAGAAAAAAAAAATCTGCAGTAAGAGGACCCACACAGTTCAAACCCATATTATTCAAGGGGCAACTGTAGTTTAGTATTTTTTAAAAAGATTTTACTTATTTATTAAAGAAACACAAGCAGGGGTAGGGGCAGGCAGGGGGAGAGGGAGAGCAGGCCCCCCCTCGGAGCAGGGAGCCCGATGTGGGGCTCGATCTCAGGACCCTGGGATCATGACCCGAGCCGAAGGCAGACGCTTAACTAGCTTGAGCCACCCAGGTGCCCCTGTAATTGAATAGTTTGAAAATTTCAGTCTAGTTGGCACATGAAGTTTAATCAAATGTTACGATTACTAGTAAGAGTTAACTCCCATAATGTGAAAGAGGCAAGTGATAAAAAGTTAATGAGCACAAACTCAGTACTGATAAATATACCCTTTGCATTTATGTAGCAGCTTCAATTATAGGTCTCCAGGGTCTCTGCATATCTGCACATCAATTTGTTTTTTTTTAAAGATTTTATTCATTTATTTGAGAGAGAGAGAGAGAGAGAATGAGAGACAGAGAGCACAAGAGGGAAGAGGGTCAGAGGGAGAAGCAGACTCCCTGCTGAGCAGGGAGCCCGATGCGGGACTCGATCCCAGGACTCCAGGATCATGACCTGAGCCGAAGGCAGTCGCTTAACCAGCTGAGCCACCCAGGCGCCCCTGCACATCAATTTGTTAATGGGAAAAAGCTGGTTGGGGAGGCAGGGCTGTGCACGGTGACTCCACCCAGGAGCTCTGCAAGCAGAAGAGGGCCCAGAGAGGAATGTGTGGGGCGTGCCATTTATCAGAGTCGGATAGAAAAAGCGAGGCTGGCGCATAGGGTTTCTGGAGCTCCAAGTCAACTATGTTAATGGTATGAGCTAGTGACAAGTTTCTCTATTCTAATTAGCTACTTTAGGACTGTAATGACTTACTGACTTAGAGGAAAGACACAGGGGCTGCACATGGCAGTTACCTGTTAAAGAGCACAGATTAAAACTACAAGTGTTTTTTGGGGCACCTGGGTGGCTTAGTGGTTAAGCGTCTGCCTTCGGCTTGGGTCGTGATCCCAGGGTCCTGGGATCGAGCCCCTCATCAGGCTCCCTGCTCAGCGGGAAGCCTGCTTCCTCCCTCTCCCACTCCCCCTGCTTGTGTTCCCTCTCTCGCTGCGTCTCTCTCTGTCAAATAAATAAATAAAATCTTAACAACAACAAAAAACAACTACAAGTGTTTTGAAGACATCTTGATGGTTCCATCTTTGTATTTTTTAATTTTATTATGTCAATCACCATACATCGTTTATTCTCATTTCCATATTGAACCTGCTCATTCATTCATTAATTCACTCCACAAACATTTATTGAGCACCTGTTACATGCCAAATATTTTCCCAGAAACTGGGGATACGGCAGTGAAGAAATCTGACAGAGATCCTTGTCTTCCTGGAACAATTTAGTAGGGTGTTAGGTGCTAAGTGCAATGGAGAAAAAAATGCAGAAGGGAGGAGGGAGAAGTAGGAAGTGTTGCAGGGAGACAGGAGAACTAGGCTATTTAAGGCAGCCAATTGGGAGAGTAGGCACATTCTGTAGAGCCACATGAGACAGAACCAAGGGATAAACAATAGGACTAAATTACATGATGGCTGAACTTCCCAACTATTAGAATTGTTCAAAGATAGAACTTTGCAGAAATAAGTGTCTCCCCGGTCCTGGACATGTTTTTTTTTTTTTTTTAAAGATTTTATTTATTTCACAGAGAGAGCGAGAGCAGGAACACAAGCAGGGGGAGTGGGAGAGGGAGAAGCAGGCTTTCTGCCAAGCTGGGAGCCTGATGCGGGGCTCAATCCCAGGACCCTGGGATCATGACCTGAGCCGAAGGCAGACGCCTAACGACTGAGCCACCCAGGCGCCCCTCCCCCCGCCCCCGGTCCTGGACATGTTTAAACAGAGCTTATGCCATTTGCTGGAGCGAGGACCGAACGCCTTCTTGGGATCACTTTGAGCTCTGAAAGTCACTAGTAGAGATCAAATTTGGTGGAGAAGAGAGCCAGGCAGTCATGGGGTCTACAGCACTGAGAGGGCCAAAGAGACAAGCTTCTGCCTGGGGGGTCCCATTACTACACTGGGAGGTGTATATATTGGGGATTCCCTGTAGCCATGGTAACTGGTTCTTTGACCAAGCTGGATAACAAGAGTTCCTGATCGTTTGCTTCCTTTAAATGCAATGAAGATAGTTTTTACACGTAGTTGCCCCTACAGCTACCTGCTTCTCTTTACATCTGACAGGAACACACATCACACTGTGGGATCAAAGACTTACCAGGTCTGACAAGGTCTTCCCATTGCATAGCGTTGGGAGATGAGCCATCAGTAACCACATGTTGTTGATGTAAAATGCTGGGGTTTTTGTGCCTGTTTTTAATATATATCAACTCATCTTTCTGAAATTTTTCTTGTTAAATTTGGGAGATCTACTCAGGATTTTTTTTTTTTTTTTTACAATGAGGTATGACTGACACACAAGGACTCGGATTCTTTATAGCAATTAGTAAAGCTGAATTTTTGTCTTTGCCTCCCCAAGTTTCAAATAGATGCAGCACGTTTTACACTTTTTCTTGTGTTTGTCTAATACACATAATCAGGTTTGTCATCAACACAAATATTGTCTGGAAAGTACTAGTCATTTCACACTTCACTTTAATGAAAGGGCTGGCTTGGATGCACAAAGATTTTTCTCAATTTCTTGTTATGACTGGCTCAGGCTCTCAACTATTCACTGGTTGTTACCTATGTAGTACTGGCTGTTCGATCCAGTGTGTTGATGCTTCTTCCTGGTTAAAAAGTGACCTTAGAGATCACCTCATCCAACACTCTTGCTTTAAAATGGAAGAAACTGAAATCCAGAAATGTTAAGGAACTTTTTCAGCGTCTGAGAGCTGTTCTGCTGTCTGGAGCATAGTTAAGTAAGAACCATTTCAGATACTTGAAACCCGGTACTGCTGAAACAATCAGCTTCGCTGACTACAGACTAGTTTGTTTCAGACATCAGAACGAAGGCTCATGGTTCCTGAAAAATCCTTTTTGCTAGGGTTGGGCCAGAGAAAGGTCCAGTTCTTGCTATGAGGTGTGTCTACCACTGGCTCCACCTGGGGGACTATTTCAGGCTGTCATAGGAGTCACTTGAGGGCTGGAGTGCCAGTCCAGGTTTATATTCTGTGAATCTGACTTCTGAAATGACTTTGGGAGTGTGCTAGGATGACTCCGGGCTTGTTATCTCAAGTCACATCCCCTGCCTTGGTGGGCAAGCTGGAATCTTCTCAGGCTTTTCTCTTTGGGATGTCGAAGATCATAATTTCTTCCCTTTAAAAGTAGAAGTGATTCTGTCTCTTGTTTACACCTTGGGCTCTATAAGCTCTCACACAGCTACATTGTTCGGATTTACCTGTGCACAGCCTTCGTTCTCCCACATGCTTCCCTGCAGCTTTCACACCATGCTTGCTTAGGAACTTGACATTCAGGGTAGCTCTACAGGAATCCTCATTCATCTCTGGTATTTCCACTCTTCCCAACACTGCTGCTCCTGCCTGGAGTTGGGATGTGACATCCTCTGCTGTGTCACCCTAGGGAATGGGACTGACAATTCTGCAGTCACAAGGGAATAACCAAAGCAAAGAATATATAGAAGGTCAAACTTTAAGTGAGCAAGCTTGCTCAAGGTTGTCCCTCCTTGCCAGCCACACCCAAGACAAAGGAGTTCCCCCTTTTTTTCAATCCATAGATGAGGAGATTCATTAGGGCAGCTTGTGAGAGCATCCCTAGGGCAGGACCCACGGGGTCAGGCCCTCTGGGCAGCAAAAGAAACCTGAGCACTGAGTTGTGCTGAACATGGCGTTAAGTTTAAACATCCAGAGGATTCTTCAGTTCTTAAGCTGCAGGATGTAAAGGAACTTTTGATGTCCTTTTCAAGAGCCTTGTCTTGTTCGTTCTGAAGCTCTTTTATTTCCACTGCTTCAATAATGCCACAGTGGCTCGGATTTTGCTGCCAGCAGAAAGAGAGCTGCAGAAATTTTTGCATAGTAAGATCTAGTCTAAATACATACGCTATCCATCATGTACATTTTAATGGAATGCACCAGAATAACAGTACAAATTCAGTCTGCCAGGTAATTGCAGCTGAACATTTAATTTTGTAGGCAGAGTTTTATATTAAGTAGGTTCTTAGCTCCTCAACTTTTTGAGTGGATAAAAGGAGGTTTTTTGACATGGGCCTTTGGCTGACATGGGAGTAGGAGCATATCCCGTATGAACATTATAATGAATCTGTGTGTGTGTGTGTGTGTGTCTGCACATTCTGCACATAGACGAGAACCAGAGTCTCTAAACACATCATATGCGCAAATAAGCAAGCACAGTTCTATGAAATGCTAGATTTTCACCTTCCTGCACTGCAGCTGGGAAGGAAAAAGACATACAGTTAGAAAGGTTACCCAAAGCTTTCCTCTTTGTGGTATCCAAGTTTTCTGTACCTCGGGCATCCAGGAGGCACAAGGCAAGGACTCTGACTGGGACTGAGCAAGTCAGTGAACACTGGATCATGAGCTGGACACACACACAAATGTCTTGTTATAGATACCTCTCAGGGAAGCTTCAGTGCAAGGAGATCCTCAAATATGCCCGACAAATTAGGGGATAGCTTGTGTAAATGAGAATCAAACTCAGTATCAGGTAATATTTATGATACATAAATACCTTAAATGATGCCATATTTAGTTAATAGGAACATAAGAACTTCCCTAAGCTCACTATGGGTTTATCTAATTTTCTCCTCAAGCAGTTTATGTGCTACAATAGGAAATTCTTTTATGGGACATTTTAGGAATATATCCCTTGAGGAATTCTGTTTAGAAAAAAATACATAAAAGCTTTATTTTTCTAACATAATTTGTCTCCACTCATGTGACTTCTTATATGATGAAACATTATACACTATTTACAGAATTTTAATCTCCTATACTGTTGAGGGTAAGAGAGGAAGTTATGTCTTGGTAACACAGCAGAGTTACGTCAGTGGCCCCATTAAAAATTTTTTTTTGTTATAAATGAAAGTTTTTCTTTACCTTTTTAAAAAAGATTTATTATTTAAAGAGAGAGAGCACAAGCTGGGGGAGGGGCAGAGGGAGACAGAGGGAGGGAATCTCCAGCAGACTCCCCACTGATGTGGGGCTTGATCCTACGACCCTGAGATTCATGACCTGAGCTGAACCCGAGTCGGACACTTAACTGAGTGAGCCACCAGGTGCCCCTTTTTAAAATTTTTCTAGTGTGGTCCTTGTCAGATTGTCGATCTCAACCCAATCGTAACTTCTGATGATGCAAGTCTCTTGCCTTCCTAACCTAGGTGGCTTCTGACGGCTAGTTACCAAAAGACATCACCATTTTACAATAGGAACTCCACACAGAAGTTATGATGGAAAGCCATTTTATTTTTCCCTAAATTTTAAAATAAAAGACTTGAATGGAAAACGTTTAGTACCGTCAAGTCACCCTGAATGCCAGCGATACCTTGACTTTCATAAACACAGGAAGCCAGGTCAAAGTCCAGTCAGTGTACACATTTCTCCATGGTTCTTCGAACAGTTTGGCATGAACAAAATTTTCTGCCATTTTGCTTTAGCAAATAGCAACATAATTTAAAACTTTCACGTCTCCTATGTGACCCCAAAAATCCAACTGCTATATTTATTAATACAGTTAGAAAAATAAAAGCCTTAAAAAATTCATGGTATGAGTTCACGGTGCTAATCACATCATCTCTTCAAACGTAAGATCATTTTTAAAACTCCTACATAACAACCTTTTGGTTTAATTTGAAAGGCTTAAGACTTGAAATCTAGTAAGAGTGTTAAGTCAATGTACATATCAATTATTTCATTTTTACTTGTCCTGGGAGAGTTAATTCCCATTGTCCACTGAATGAATGTCTTTCAAATATTAATAAATATATTACAGTATTTACAAGCATTCTTATCTACTCTGACACTGGTAGAAAGGTAAGCCATGGGGAGGGACTGCTCTCCCAGCAGGGCAAGCTCATGAAGTCTGGGACAAAAGGCGCAGGTGCTGGAGGATGCGCCAAGGGCTCTGCTTAGGTGTGCACGCAAGCTCTCAGACACATCTCCTTCTGACCAGCTAGCCAGTTTGTTGTTGGATCATGTGTAATGCTGAATAGCCAGAAACCAGGAAAAAAAAGGAATACTGTGAAGTCATGTCATTTCAGTAGTTAAGAAGAAGACAGGCCTAAGTTCAGACTAAGGTTAACAAGGGTAAAACCACGCTCCATAAGCTGTTAGTGAGTTACTCTCTGGGAATTACCTAATTTAGTCGAGGTGTTGGGTACATGTCATGGATATGGGAGAAACTGTAAGAAATTGTTTTGGCAATAAAAAGTGATGCTAATTCGATTTCTACACTTTTAACTGTGTCACGTGTCTTCTTCTCACACTGTGAACTGTCCCATGTAGACCTCCCACCCACTTGACAAACCTCGTTAATGCTGCTGAAGGATTCACATTCTAATGCTCTGGTAGGAGTGTTCATAATACCCTAATCAGCCTAGACAGCATCATAAACCTGAAGGAGTGAAGCCAAAGATTGAGATGGGCTAGATATCTGTCTTGTGAATGTGAATGAAACTCTAATTTTAGGGGCTTAGTTTCTTATGTTTCAGTAACAGCAGACACTAGTCATTATTTTAAAAAGCATACTATTGTGGGTCATGTCTATATACCTACACAAATATCATTCCCTCTCCCGGGAGTCATTTCAAGGCCCAAACCTTGGGCCCTCAAAGGGTGTGTGGCTTCCACCAAACCATCTGGGGTATAGAGTCCAAATAGTCCCTTGGAAAATTTTATAAATGAGATTCACCCCATATAATGTTTAAATCTCTTACACGAGAGTCTTTAAAATAATTTAAACATGTGCAAAATGAAGAAGGGTTCTCTGGTGGCCCACGTTTACATGCAAATACAGACGAACTGTTAACATGCATTATTTTAGTCAATCGGTAAAGTTTATTTCATAAGTATAAGTAATTTTAAGCCATTTACTAAATTGTAAATTTCAATCCATTAAAAACTACTACCAGAGCAGTTGTGAGGTATTACTGTTAATCTAATATAGAAATGTTAACTATGCTTGGATGTGGAATGAAATGTGACTGCCATGCCTTTTATTAAATGGTGCTGTTACAGTGCTCACTACAGATGTGTCCTATAGCTTTTAGGAAATTCTTGTGCATGTGCATTAACTGATTTTCCAAACATCAATGGCAATTTGATTGGTTGGTCATTTCTAAGCATAACTAAAATAATAGAGGACAGCTCCTAGCCTGGGACAAGCAAGCTGAGAAATTTCAAGTGTACACTGCTACCCTCCAACCTGCCTCCATCAAAAACCCACCCTACTCACTCCAGTTGTTTGCAAGGAAAACTTGTGCAAAAAGCATCCAAAAAGTCAATCAGCAGGTTAATTTTCTTGTAATTTTAAAAGAACTAGACAATGTTTTTTTTCCCCTTAAAATTCATTTATAAAAATAAATAAATTTCAGTTTGAGACCTTAGGTACCAAATTGTGGCTTAATTTAGTTGTGATGGCTAAGACTATAAAGTTATGGAAAATGTAGTTGAAAACGGATGAGCTCCAGCTCATTCCCCGAAGTGTGGCAACGGCCGGCACGCTACGCTGTCACAACCCTTCTCACAGTTAACCAAAATACACTCGACTTCTTGACAAACTTTTAGCCTTCTTTTGTCCTGAAACTCCCACAAAACTTTAATCTTAGACCTCTGTTACAAAACTACAATTAACCATAATACATTCAAGATAGTGAATGTCACCCACTCAGGAGACACTGATCCGTGGCCCCGGGGGAAACACAGCAGCTCAGAGGAAATGGTCCCCCACTGGGGTGTACAGATCACCCAGATGTTCTGCACTAGAATGCAGGCATGAAGTCCCTGCTCAGAGCAACAACAATTTAAAATCAGTTTGATAGGAGCAAATCCTTCCAGGTTTTGTGCCATGAGCGGATACACAGCCTGGCCCGGCGACCCCGGGGACCTGGTATGTGGCAGAGCCCGGCCACTATGTCCATTAGATAGGAACACTGTCGGGTGGAGGTGCCAATATGACTTACTGCTTAGAACTGTGCGAACATCGACACCGTTGTGAGGCCGATTTCTCACACGAGAAGCTTTTTGCCTTAGTCAGGAAATGATCTTAGGAACAGTAAGGAACTGAACTAAGGAAAAAGTCTCTGGCCTCCAACTCCACACACACACACACACACACACACACACAAGCAAGTTTCAAACTACTGTTCTCTCTTGGTGCAGACGAGCAACTGGCTGACCTGTCACGTACCATTAATCGAGATGAACAAAGCATTCAGTCTGTGGAACAACGTGATGCGGCAAAAACCTGATCTAATGCAAATTCAAGCCTATTAACTAAGACCACGGCAAGGAGAGACAGCCCAGCTCAGTGTTCTCCCGCGCTAGTGCCGACTCTGAACACAAAGCAACTGAAAGGCACGGGCTCAGATTTCATTGATAGTCCTCTCTGAAGGGCAGTATTCCGAGGCGCCTGGGGAGGACACGTAGAAAGACTGTGTTTTCCTTTTTAATCGGGCTCTTTTGTTAGCCAACACCAGGCTGCGCCGGCTCGAACTGATGATTTCCGAAATAAACTTTTTGCAGTCTACACACACCTCCATAGTACTCCAGTCCTCCATCAGCTCTTTGGGAAACTGTAGTTCTTCATCGGATTTGTCCACAGACTTAGATTTGGAGAACCTGGAACAAAACAAAATGTTTAGAATATTGTTACTTACAGTTCTACTGCAATACTAAGAAAATACACGCAGAAAAAGTCAATCTGTTGCCAAAACATTATGGAATGGGCGAGTCACCTCATGTTCTTCCATAGGAAGGAAGAATTTCTAATTGGAAATAAAATTCAAAATATTTTTTAAAAAAAGACACCAGGAAACATGTTTTAGTAAGAAATAGTAATATGGAAGAAAAAATGAAATAATAATCTGAAAACTCTTAGTGTCCTTTCCAGAATTTTTGGGAAAAAAAAGCATATTTATTCACCTGAATACCATACATGATCTAGAGTAGACTTTAACAACAAAAACAAATCAAAGTACATGTTGCTAACGTCCTATCGATAATTCAGAAGGGACTTCAAGTTCTTTCTCCAGTGACCCTGCGTCAGAGTTGGTGAACATGAGTTAACTGCAGAGAGGAGGGCAGACTATAGTAAACTGAAGTCAATTGGTCTTAATCCTGAAAAGTTATCTTCGGACCAGCTTCCTTAGCATTTTTGCATTTATCAAATATACCTTCCCCTCTCCTGACAATTCTCTCTATGTAGGTGACTAATTATTTGGATTCCAGAGAGCTGGAGTTAATGAGATCAACATCGTAATAAATGTTTTGGGTAATTTTTTTAAATAACTAGGAATCATCTACTCATGGACTACTTTAATGAAACCAAACAGGAACGTAAGTTTAGAGTAGGTACAGAAAGGAACAACAACATGCCCCACAGCCTTGAGCTCACAGGTGACGATCCACAGTCGGAGGCTACCACGGCACAGCGGGCCATGTCTCAGAGTGGAGTCGGCAGCTGGGAGGCCGCAGTACCGGGCACAAGTCACCAGCGGGGCTCACGGCTTCCTTGCCTCACCGCCCACAGCCACGGTGTGCAGGAGTAGCATTGCCCAGCCCCCAGCACCAGTGCCGGGCTCCCTCCCCGACCGGGGGCAGCTGGTGTGTAAAACCCCGACATTTTCGGCCCTGTGAATGCGTGAGCCAAGTTGGCCTGACCTCCTTCTTTCCTTCCTTAAGGACCAATGGTAACCTTACTCTGCATTAAAAGCAGAGGGACTGATATTCAGGCAACTTTTTTTTTTTAATTGCCATAAAGCTTTTGGCATAAAGCTTTATTTCTGCCATATTTACAATAGGAAGATAAGCCAAAGTGATGGCAGACCATTGGAAACCTAGAACTAAACAGATTTGCTTCCAAAACTAAAGAAGAAAGATTAGACTGTTACGTGCAAATTTTCAACTCCACTGAAAACAAGGTGAGCTTTAAAAATGACACAGATGTAGTGAAAAGAAGGGCCATATGTACCCCGATGTTCATAGCAGCAATGTCCACAATAGCCAAACTGTGGAAAGAGCCGAGATGTCCTTCAACAGATGAATGGATAAAGAAGATGTGGTCCATATATACAATGGAATATTACTCAGCCATCAGAAAGGATGAATACCCAACTTTTACATTAACATGGATGGGACTGGAGGAGATTATGCTAAGTGAAATAAGTCAAGCAGAGAAAGTCAATTATCATAGGGTTTCACTTATTTGTGGAACATAAGGAATAACATGGAGGACTATGCTATTGATTGATTGATTCCATGATGGTGAGCCTCTGAGAGCTATGGAATATTACTACCTTTTAAAAGTGGAATTATTAGTAAATACAGAGTCAAATTATAGGAGAAGGAAGGGAAAAATGGAGAGGGGTGGAATCGGAGGGGGAGATGAACCATGAGAGACTATGGACTTCAAGAAACAAACTGAGGGTTTTAGCGGGGAGGGCGGTGGGGGGATGGGTTAGCCTGGTGATGGGTATTAAAGAGGGCACGTACTGCATGGAACACTGGGTGTTATATGCAAACAATGAATCATGGAACACTACATCACAAACTAACAATGTACTCAAAAACTAATGATGTAATGTATGGTGATTAACATAACAATAAAAATTTTAAAGAAAAAAAACTAATGATGTACTGTATGGTGACTAACATAACATAGTAAAATTAAATTAAATTAAAAAAAGACTTTTAAAGGAACACAAAAGTAATTATTTCTGAAGTAGAAAAAAAATGATGACATTCAAGTATCCTTCAAGCAGCTGGCCATGTTCCCTTTAGGAAGTTTTGGATACTTGGGTGCAAGTCAAAACTATATTTAAAACCAACCACCCAGCCACCCCAAATCATGCTGAGCCCAAACCCTACCTCGTCAGCAGTCCTCAAAAGGAGCATTCTTCTTTTACAGAGGATGCTCTGAGGTCCCAGGCCCCTTGCTCACCTGGCAATGCTCCGGAGTGGCCGATGGTGGCCAGTGGCAGGCTTTTCTGGCCTCATGCAACTTTCCCCTCTTTGCAAGGCAGAAGGTCCCAATGAAAAGATGGGAAGAGTGGAGTATGGTTTGGAGGGCAGCCGCATCTATTAACCCAAATAAAACCGAGAATGAGCAGTACTGTTAAAGAGGTAGACTACTGAAAATTAACACAAATTATAATTTCACGAAGCTTAGCTTACCTTTTTGCAACACTGTGAACACACCGGCCTATATACAAAATCAGAAAGGTTACTCAGCATGATACCATAGATGGACTACAAAGTCAGAGAAGCCAATGGCTGCATGGTTATGAATTTCTATAATAAACTGCAAAAACTCTCTGGTTTTTCTACCAGAATGTAACAACTTGATACGACTGTGGATCACCAAGAACACAATCTGTAAACCTTAACTCTTATACTGTTTCCTGTAAAAGGATCAACTTATATCTGTCTGGGCTTTTCTTACTTGTCTATCCAGAGATCACATGACAATCACATCTACTTTTTTTCTGCTCCAACTGGACATATAATTATTAGAGTGATCTTAGTTATGTAAAAGAAATACATGCAGAGAAGCATTTTCCAGGTTTTATTCCAAGTAACTGTTTGCTCTACTCTTTTGAAGAAATCAGTATTATTAACTCCTAAGCATGGCACAATCTGATAATGGGTTGGGCAATCTCTAATATTGTTCCTGTGTAGGAAAATGATTCAACTATGAATGCGATCGGTATTTCTTTGACTATGGTCATCAATTACAAAAAACCTTACCTCTTACAGAACTGACAGGTATAAGACCAGGTGAAGAAGGAAAATCTCCTGGTTCGGCAACAAAAGCAGAGCTAAAAAAAAAGAAAAATACAAATTTAAAGGGAGAAAAAAGCATTGCCAGCAGTTAATTTCCATGTCTAAATACAGTTTACATTTATATAATGGGGAAGGTTAGCAGACAGAAGGGAAAAGGGAATTCAGAAACTGTTTTCAAGTTTGGCTCTGTGATAATTATAATTTGACTCTGTATTTACTTATAATTCCACTTTTAAAAGGTAGTAATATTCCATAGCTCTCAGAGGCTCACCATCATGGAATCAATCTGAAGAAGGTTCTGAGACAGTTTCTTTCTCAGATATAGTTTCTTTACAAGCCTTTAAAATGCAGACATGGTTTTATGAAGGTATGCCATTTATTTACTATGGTTGTTTTAAATCTTCCAGTTTTTGATTTCTCAGGGAGAAACAAAAATACTTTTTTTTTTTTTGTAAACAAGGCAGAACAGGAATTGTGTATTATTAGAGAATAAGCCTCTTACCTCCTAAAGTCCCCTACAAGTCCTATACCATCTGGCTGCCAGCAGACCACTCCCTTGGGAGACCAGACCATTCTTCTAACCCTGCTTATCAACCAACTTGAAATAGCCCTACCTTTCCTTTTTTCAGGGCGGTGTAGACATCTTTATACTGTTGGTATTTTTCCAGCTCTGCCTTCACCAGGACCTGACGAATATGCATCACTTCCTCCACAGTGAGAGCTAGGCATTCCACCGGATAGCAAAATTCCTCCTGAAATTCAAAATTCCACATGAATAAGAAACTCCCACCCCCCCTTTCTGGCACTGCACAATTTCCCTTCAGATCAGACACCTGGTTAGTAGCTTCAGAGAAGAAAAGAGGTTTCCCAATGAACACTGGAACAGAGCTGGCTCACTCTGGGGACCACATAATTTCTAATCACACTAAGACAACGGATGGCAGAAAACTTCTGGGGACCATGTCAAACATCATAGCCTACTGAAATTTCCAGGAAAGGAAAGTTCCTCACATTTGGGTGCATATTTTGCCTCAAGTTTCTATTCCATTAAGCAGAGCTATGTATCTATGCACTGAAATCTTGAAGAAAATTTTCTTGTTCTAAACCAATTGACGTGAGTTTGCTCTTACGATTATGCCAAGACCTTACTTCCTGCTGTGTTTTATACTATATGCTAATAGACAAACTACAAATCAACATTGGTATAATTTAGAAAACTGGTCTGTGGTACCCAGAATAGCCAAGAGAATGTGGTTAGTAATTTATACTGAGAAGCTTTATTTAGTGGTAAGTTACATCAGCACATTGTGGAAAACGCTAATGGCACAAGCGGAACTGGAACACGGAACTACTGGGACAACCTCCACAGGCTGCCCCCCAGTTCTCTGGGTTTCTGTTATTACTTTTCAACAACTGCAGAATACACAGTCAGCACTGGAAAGACGTGGAGAAAATCTTAAGAATTTCACAATAAATATTTATGTTGGCTGTCTTATGTTAAATGGTTTCCCTAAAAACAGCCGAGGAAGATGTTGATGTAACTGATCCCACTGAATAAAAGAGCCTCACCCCCATCTGCTCCCCATCCGGCTCTGCACTTGATTGGTGGATCTAAGAGAAAGACAGAATGGTCTTGTGCATTCTCACCCTGCCAGGCTTCACAGGGGCCATTGTGGTGTAGGGACACTGAAACTTAATGTTCTCAGTGCAAACACATTATAATTCACTCCCACACACACACAATAGCATTGCTCACAGGCATTCTGGAATCAAACAAGCCAAAGGAACGCACATGACTATGAATGCAGTCAGTTTATGGAGTTTTAACATTCAGTTCTGTCTTTCAATCAGAAAAACAAAAACAAATCTAGGTTGCAAACTTGATAAACATTAGCATTTACTAAGAAAAGTAGTTTGAAGAACTGCTTCTTACTAACAATCAGTACAGAATCATTGCTATTCGGCAGACTGAAAGAAGGTTAAATTTGCTTAAAAATGTTTTGGAAAAAATCCTGCAATTGAATTTTTAAGAGGAAGAGCTTAGTATCTGGAGGGTGGGAAGGTAGTCTGTTCAGGAAGATTGTATCATTTGCTCTAAGATGTCTAAAATACTTTAAAAAAAAATCACCATCACATAATTTTCTCTTTCAATGGGAAAAGCTTTCAAAGATAACAGGATTAAATTGGCTTGTCCAGTATCTACTCTGTTTTGCTCCACCCTGAGAAAATAGCCTAGTGTCAAGTGGGAACAATGCACTGCCTATGTGAAGGTTAGGCCACTAAAATTGTGCATGAGGTAAGCTTTGTTGGCTGCACACGTCTGAATGATGGCTTTTCTCAGCTTTTAACATATTTCATAAGCAGCTTTCCTATGGCCTTTTTTATTCATTAGTAATGAGTGTGACTGTGGTGCATTTTCTGACAGCTAACTATGTGACAAAACTGCTGAGCGGGAACAATCTAATGTATGAATCTACCAACTAACCAGATACTCACTACCTGAGATTTGGTGCTGTGCAGGTGGGAAGAAGGCAAATGGTGCCAGTTTAATGAACTTTACAACTAGGGCTGGTAAACATTTCCGGTAGATGCGAATCCTTTTTATTTGCAGGGATATCCTAGCACACACAATAGACCTGACAGGCTCTACACTTCCCTCTTCTCAGTCTTAAGTCACAATGGACTTAGTCAAGCATACTTTCAACTTACTGCTTTGAACTATATGCAAATCCAGTACTTTGTAGGACATAGTAAGAAACTGTATTTGTGTGTGTGTTCTTGTTCTTTTTTAAACTTTCAAGCAGATTACTGTTGAATAAAATAATTTCCATCAGGTCAAATGCTAATGTTTTAATTCTGGTGCTTTCCCAAGGACAACAAAACTTTAATGCAACATGAAAGAAAATAATAAATAGTTACTAGAATTAGTTTTTATTATTTTTTTTCAATTGAGAAAAAAATACTAATTCAACATCCCCAAAGCCAAATTAAACCTTAGCCTCAACGGATCTTCCTGAGATACTAATGCTCCAAAATGTGAGGAGCACTCAGGGCTTTAACAGTGAGTGAGAGCTTTACACTGGGCTTGGTCACTCCTCCCCACGTCCTGAACTCGGTCATAGCCAGACATGGACTCTAAAATCCCCTTGCTTCCTTGTGCTTCAATCTCACTCCTAAATTTAGGAAAGGGAAGCTAAATCTGAAAGAGTTGTAATAAAGATTCCAATATGCTATAGGAGCAGACGAGCCTTTAGAACTTACTCTGTATGTATGTCACTAAAATCCCTGAGTTTTTGTTCAATATTCTGGTCACGTTTACCATTCAGAAGGGTTAGAGTAAGGGAGCACAGAAATTATAGAGCATAATATAGACTCTGGTTTCTGAGCCACAGAGAGAATGGGAATATGCATATTTTATATAGTATTTTTAATGAGCAAAAACTTTGTAAGTAGCAGATATTTGAAAATTATCCAAAACCACTATTTTTTTCCTTGAGTTTTTAATAAACCCAAGGCAAATTTAAATTAAAATAGCACCTGTTAAGTTTAATTATTCTTCTCTTTTTTCAAGTTCAACTTTAAATCTCAAAAGTGAACTCTTTGCCTACAGTAATATAGCCTTAGTATACAGAGATCTCTGTTTGGGGAGGATTGATAATAAAAATGAAAATGCCAGCAGATCTTTGGTAATAGCAGTAACAGTGACAGGAGTTAAAATGCCATCCCTGCACTTGACCACGTACTGCCCAAAGGGCCAGATCTAAAATGGCAAAAAGAATAGAGATCTATCCTCTGTTTCATGACATAAGAAGAGAAAGGAATTTGACGTATTTCATTCACATTCAGAGTCTCTTCTCCAAACCAAGATGGGTAATAAAGAGTAACAAAGAAGCCAGCTGCTGGTTCAGTAAATAAAGGACGTAGGAAAGCCAGGAGCCTGTATGAGGTGGAAAGGCAGTGGCAAACGCTAGTCTCCTCAGCAGTGCGTGCTACTCTGGGGGCTGGGGAAGCTTTCGGCATAGTTCGAGGCCTTCTGATTTCACTGGGATTTGGCAGGTATTATCCTTTCTTTAAAAAATATATTCTGTCTGAAAATCTAAAAAATAATGAAAGGCATAAAATTTAAAATATTTAAAATAACCACATCAATAAAAGGAAAACTTAAGATTTCTACAGAGAAGTGGGTTGTCATAAAAACCATGTAACACCGACCCATACAACACAGCTTTATGAAAGATACTGGGGAACAGAGAGATTCTGAGCCCAGGGTTGCACAGCCCCTTGGAGCTCACGGTGGGGTGTGCGGGGAAACGGGGAATGACACGGTTCCATGGGTGGGAGAGTCCCCGTGGCTATGTGGCCTGGCAGCAGGCTGCTCTGTCAGCTGGGGGACGGCGCAAATGCTGTTCCAATGGCGGGAAGGCCCGGGGAGGAGAGTGCCCCACAGGCTCTCGGGGAGTGCCCCCTGCACATGGAGAGGAGATGGCATTGCTCCTTCTGTACAACTGGGTCACTCACAGGTCCCTCTAATCTGATGCTGCATTTTGAGTTTGTTGTCCTTTCAAGGTCATTTTCCTTTCAGCTGAGCTCATGGTGTCCTCTATGCATCCTACAAAAGACGGGAATCAACGACCAGAAGCAAAGTGCCCATCTAAGCTGTTAATTGTTCAGAGTGCAGTAGTTGCGGTATCACTGTCAAAGAGATAGAGAGAGTGAAATAATTCCCAGAACCAGCAGAAAGAGGCCAACCTTTGAGGATTTCCACCTGCTGGTAAAAGCTCTCTCACATAGATAATACATAGCCCCTGCTACCCCAAACATGGCTGCTTCAAAAGGATGAGAGCTGAGCAGAGAAGCTGTTTGTATGGTAGAAAAAAGTGGTCGGAAAGGCGTCCTTGGCCAAACACTGGTTATCCTAGGAACCTGAACAATAGATAAGGGAAAAAGAAAATGGCAGGGGGAAAAGAAAAGGAGAAAATAATGCTGAACATGAGTGACCTACAAATAGTGGTTACAGAGCATGAAAGAAAACCAAAACAAAAACACCACCGAGGACATTAACGGTAGATTCCACATGTGTGTGTCCACACCACGTCTGCTCCCGTAGGTATAAATCAGTAATCACACCAGGAAATCATTCCCAGAGACTCTCGGAGTTCACGCAGCAGAGACCTGAGATGCTCCTAACTTGGCTGCCCTGGGAACGGCCGCCCCCCGGCCTGTGAAAGCAGGGTGTGGGGGGCACGCACCAAGCAGCACTTGCCCCCCAGCCCCTGGGGAAGGTGCTGAAAGACAAGTTCCCTTTCACTTAGATGGGCAATCATCCTCAATCATTTGACCAAATGATGAAAAAAATTCTGTTTTAAACATCCTAAGGAAAGGGAGGGAGATACAATAAAAATAAAAATGAGTACCAATGCAGACCTTTCTGCCATTTTCAGTGGAGGGGTTCTAAATACACAATGATTCCTTGTTTCCTTAAATACAGTTAAAGTTTTAAACTGTCGTACTTTTAAAAGTGATACTTACCAAGCTAGAGGGCACTACTGCAAGATGAGTGTGACTTTATGGGTTTCCCAAGCCAAGCTACTAGCAAGAAGGGTCACAACTCTGACCTGGATGTTACTTTGTGTCAGCTGGCACGCTGGGCCCTTTGAGGGAGCTGTGGTTCCGTGTGGAACCTGGACGCCGTCCAGTGCTGAAAAGAAGTGCTCTCCCACTGCCTTTCATTGAGACTCTTCTCTGCGACTGCAGATTGGTTTTATCTCGCTCTTCTTCTCCATAAAAAGTAACTCAGAGCCTGACCTAGCACACACGAAGAGTTCCCCTTTGTCAGGAACGCACTTCTGGGCCCTCGATGTCGGCTGATGGTCTTTCTTTTATTACTTCTGTGGTATTTTTTCTCTTCTATTCAAAACTTCTCTCAGTAGCTGAAATTTCTTTTAATTGATCTGACAGTTCCTCTACATTGATAATTTTTAAATTTAACATTAACAATGGTGTCCTGTGATCACAAGGCCCGGTGCACAGCTGAATGATAAATTGGCTTCGAAGATAAAAGTTGGGTGAAGAGAAGAATCTCCTGATTATTGGACTTGTGATCTCTTACACACTTTTAAGCTGTGACAGTAACTATATTTTGCTAAAGCAAAAAGTTGTTCACATTAGCAAGTCTTTGGATTCTGAAGTTTGAACCTGTCTGGTTAGAATTCTGTTTTTCTACTGGTAAACCACTGGTGAGGCTATATTTAATCAATGTTTCAGTGATTATCTAGGAGTTAGAGGAATTCTTTCAGGAGTTGACATACACGCAATCACTAGTTCTTAAATTGAACTGTTTGGGAACAGATGACTGATTAAATTTCAACACTATAGGGGCGCCTGGGTGGCTTAGATGGTTAGGCAACTGCCTTCGGCTCGGGTCATGATCCTGGAGTCCTGGGATTGAGTCCCACATCGGGCTCCCTGCTCAGCAGGGAGTCTGCTTCTCCCTCTGACCCTCTTCCCTCTCATGCTCTCTCTCATTCTCTCTCTCTCAAATAAATACATAAAATCTTAAAAATAATTCAACACTATAAAACTTTGTTCAAACTTGGTATCTTCACAATAACTACACCATCTTCCTCTACTTGGAGCGAGGGACATCTCTTATTGCTTCATTTGAACCCTTGATGATTCAAGATAGCCTAAAAATATGGCTGAAAATATGGAGTAAGCATATTCCAATGCTTTTTATTCATGAATACCTGAGAAAACATTAGATATTAGGTTGCTGGTAGAATTACTGATTGAAGTCTTCATCTCACCTGAAAATATTTGTGAAGTCTAGTGGGACTACAAAAGAATCTTTGCAGACCTCCTTTGGTTAGAGGGTCTGTTATTCTTCCTGGCAGGGACCTACTGTCCTGGGAATCAAAGCCACTAGACTAACCTGAAGTCTTGGGAAAACAGCAAAACTGTCATCCAGTGCAAACAGCAGCTTTGGATCCAAGATCATAAAACATACTTGAAAACAATGCACAATGGTTTCTAATGGGTCAAAATTCTCCCCTCATACCTCTGCCTCAATAAAATAGTGTACCGTAGTCAGATTCTGCTAACTTTTTGATGAGTTTCAACAATTTTTAAGCGGACTAATTCCCTTTAAAAAGAAGAAAGCATTTCTTTAATAATAATACATATTTTCAACCACTGATAAGTCTTCTGAAAAAAAAAGTATTTTTAAAATGAACAAAGAATGGTCAAATCAAATTTCATTTAGGTTACTGTTAGAGTGGGTTTTCTTTAGATATTAAAAAGAAATAAAGCTGTCTGAAGTTCATTTTAACGTTTGGAAGTTTTTTTTTCTCCTAATCATCGTCTCAAGAAAGCTAATGATAACAGGCGTCTAACTGATCCTTAAGTTACTACGAAGTCTTCCAGTTACTTACAAGAGATCGGGAGCTCTGCTTGGATGGTGGAAGAAACTGTCTTACATTAGTGGGTGTTTCCTTTTCAATGGAATGTCGTCTCTGGGGTGGCTGCCGTCTCTCTGGCTGGGGTGTTGATGATATGGGCAAGAATTTTGGAGGCTCTAAAGAAATGAAAAGAACCAAACTGAAATGAACTTTCTTACAAAATAAAAATCTTAGATTTTGAATTTCTAACAGAAAACCCTTTGTCACTTGTGACAAACACTGCATTCAAAGATGAAATGTTTATTTCATTAGAGGATTAAGATTGGAGGTTCTTATGGGGATACTATGAGGATTGTTATAGAAAAATCTCTGCAAGATAAACTTTTCTACAGAAATAGTGAGGAAAAATGAAAAAATATTTATTTTTAATGTTCAAATTTATACATAAAAACACAATTATAGTCTCAGCTTTGTACATACAAATGCCCTCATGTTATATGCCATAGAATTTTGCAATTAAAGAGTCTTAGGCTTGTAAAATATGTAAAAATATGTGTTCTTTGTGTCCAAAAAGACTCCCATGTCATGCCAAAATATTTTTTTAATTTAATTTTATTATGTTATGTTAGTCACCATACATTACATCATTAGTTTTTGATGTAGTGTTCCATGATTCATTGTTTGCGTATAACACCCAGTGCTCCATGCAATACATGCCCTCCTTAATACCCATCACCCGGCTAACCCATCCCTCCACCCCCTTCCCCTCTAAAACCCTCAGTTTGTTTCTCAGAGTCCATAGTCTCTCATGGTTCGTCTCTCCCTCCGATTTCCCCCCCTTCATTTTTTTCCTCAAACATATAATGTATTATTTGTTTCAGAGGTACAGGTCTGTGATTCAACAGTCTTACACAATTCACAGCGCTCACCATAGCACATACCCTCCCCAATGTCTATCACCAGGCCACCCCATCCCTCCCACCCCCCACCAGTCCAGCAACCCTCAGTTTGTTTCCTGAGATTAAGAGTCTCTTATGGTTTGTCTCCCTCTCTGGTTTTGTCTTGTTTCATTTTTTCCTCCCTTCCCCTATGATCCTCTGTCTTGTTTCTCAACTTCTTCACATCAGTGAGATTATATGATACTTGTCTTTCTCTGATTGACTTATTTCACTTAGCATAATACCCTCTAGTTCCATCCACGTTGTTGCAAATGGCAACATTTCTTTTTTTTTTTTTTTGATGCATGCCAAAATTTTCAAATGTATAGTCCTTTTATATTCTTTTTAAAAGATGAAATATAAAAACTCTCCATTTTTGATGTTTATCAAGACATTCTGTCCTTAGGTTTAAATCAAGCTTTATTTAAATTTCGAAAAGTAAATTCCAGTTTTGATGTTAACACTGTAACACTGCTGTCTTCTGCCTAGTAATATTTTGGGACAGGGTTTAAAAGGAGAATGTTTTAGGGTTTGAATGGTTCTGGATTCACATTGTGGAAACGTAAGGAGAACATTAGAAATAAATTATGTTGCTAACCGAGTTTTTTTTAGTACTTCCTCTTACTCTCTCTGCAAAGTAAGACTGTTGCAGTGTTATGGGTGAAGAAAGTGAAAGTCAACACAAAGTTAAAAGTGATCCATCTATTTGGACTGTCCCAGTCCAAAGAGAAATTACTAAATAAAAACAACACAATTTCCACAATCAAGAAAGATACAGAAATCCATTATGTGATTTAATTGTATCTCTATAATATTTAATTGGTCTGACCAAATATCAATTAAAGGTAAAAACCAAGATCAGCTCCTACTGTTCTTGATATAATCTGATTAAGTAAATCAAAATACTAAAGAATTTTAATCACTAAAAACTCCATGTGTATAAGAAATCAAATCAATGTTCTAAGAATATCTTAATATATAGTGTTTTTTCTCCTGGAACATTTTTTTTTCCATTGCAGTAAAACATACATAAAATATATTTAGTGTCTTTGTTTTTTTTTTTTTAAGATTTTATTTATTTACAGGAAAGAATGTCCAATGGCAAAAAGACAGTCTCTTCAACAAATGGTGTTGGGAAAATTGGACAGCCACATGCAGAAGAATGAAACTGGACCTTTTCCTTACACCACACACAAGAATAGACTCCAAATGGTTGAAAGACCTAAACGTGAGACAGGAGTCCATCCAAATCCTAAAGGAGAACACAGGTAGCAACCTTTTCGACCTTAGCCGCAGCAACTTCTTCCTAGAAACATCGCCAAAGGCACGGGAAGCCCGGGCAAAAATGAACTATTGGGATTTCATCAAGATAAAAAGCTTTTGCACAGCAAAAGAAACAGTCCACAAAACCAAAAGACAACCGACAGAATGGGAGAAAATATTTGCAAACGACATATCAGATAAAGGGCTAGTATCCAAAATCTATAAAGAACTTATCAAACTCAACACCCAAAGAACAAATAATCCAATCAAGAAATGGGCAGAAGACATGAACAGACATTTCTCCAAAGAAGACATCCAAATGGCCAACAGGCACATGAAAAAGTGCTCCACATCACTCGGCATCAGGGAAATCCAAATCAAAACCTCAATGAGATACCACCTCACACCCGTCAGAATGGCTAAAATTAACAAGTCAGGGAACGACAGATGTTGGCGGGGATGTGGAGAAAGGGGAACCCTCCTACACTGTTGGTGGGAGTGCAAGCTGGTGCAACCCCTCTGGAAAACAGTATGGAGGTTCCTCAAACAGTTGAAATTAGAGCTACCGTTCGATCCAGCAATTGCACTACTGGGTATTTACCACAAAGATACAAATGTAGGGACCCGAAGGGGTACATGTACCCCAATGTTTATAGCAGCAATGTCCACAATAGCCAAACTGTGGAAAGAGCCAAGATGCCCATCGACAGATGAATGGATAAAGAAGAGGTGGTATATATACACAATGGAATATTATGCAGCCATCAAAAGGAATGAGATCTTGCCATTTGCAACGACGTGGATGGAACTGGAGGGTGTTATGCTGAGTGAAATAAGTCAATCAGAGAAAGACATGTATCACATGACCTCACTGATATGAGGAATTCTTAATCTCAGGAAACAAACTGAGTGTTACTGGAGTGGTTGGGGGTGGGAGGGATGGGATGGCTGGGTGATAGACATTGGGGAGGGTATGTGCTACGGTGAGCGCTGTGAATTGTGCAAGACTGTTGAATCACAGATCTGTACTTCTGAAACAAATAACGCAACATATTTTAAGAAAAAAGGAAAAGAAGTAGATAACAGGAGAGGAAGAAAAGGGGAGTATGTCAGAGGGGGAGACGAACCATGAGAGATGATGGACTCTGAAAAACAAACTGGGGGTTTTAGGGGGGTGGGGGGGTGGGGGGATGGGTTAGCCTGGTGATGGGTATTGAGGAGGGCACGTTTTGCATGGTGCACTGGGTGTTATGAACAAACAATGAATCATGGAACACTGCATCAAAAACTAATGATGTAATATATGGTGATTAACATAACAATAAAAAATTAAAAAAAAAGATTTTATTTATTTATTTGACAGAGAGAGAGAGAGAGCACAAGCAGGGGGAGAAGCAGGCTCCCCGCTGAGCAGGGAACCTGATATGGGGCTCAATCCCAGGACCCTAGGATCATGACCTGAGTTGAAGGCAGACACTTTAACCGACTGAGTCACCCGGGCACACCTGTCTTTATTTTTTTAAGATTTATTTATTTATTTGAGTGAGCAAGCACATGAGCAGGGGGAGGAGCAGAGGGAGAGAATTTTCAAGCAGATTCCGCACTAAGTGCGGAGCCCCACACGGGGCTCAACCCCACAACCCCATGAGATCTTGACCTGAGCCGAAACCAAGAGCCTGACACTTAACCAGCTGAGCCATGCAGGTGCCCCTAGTGTCTTTATTTTTAACTATAGAGTTCTGTGGTATTAAATATTTATATCATAGTGCAACCATTACCATCTTCCATCCCCATAACTCTTCATCTTGTAAAACTGAAATTCTGGAACCATTACAATAATTTCCCATTCTGCCCTACCTATAGCCCCGGGCAACTACCATTCTATTTTCCTTCTCTATGATTTTGACCACTCTAAGAATCCCATATAAATGGAATCATATAGTATTTGCCTTTTTTGTAACTGCTTTTTTCCCTTAGCAACAGGTCCTAAAGTTTCATCTGTGTTGTAGCCAATTACAGAATTTCCCGTTTTTAAAGCTGAGTAATATTCAATTGTATGGATAGCCCACATTTTGCTCAGCTGTTCATGCACTGATGGACACTTGGGTTGCTTCCATTTTAGCTACCGTGAATACTGCTGCTATGAACATGGATGTATATCTCTTTGAAACTCTGATTTCAATTCTTTTTTTTTTTTCTCCTTTCAATTCTTTTGCTTATATAATCAGAAGTAGAATTGGTTAAGCATCTGCCTTCAGTGCAGGTCATGATCCCAGAGTCCTGGGATAAAGCCCCATGTCTGGCTCCCTGCTCAGCAGGGAGTCTGCTTCTCCCTCTCCCTCTGCCCCTCCCCACTATTCATGTTCTCCCAAATAAATAAATAAAATCTTAAAAAAAAAAAGAATGGATTGTCTTCTGTTTTTGCAAAAATGTCATTGGCATTTTGATAGGGATTGCACTGAATCTGTATATCACTTTGGGCAATGTAAACATTTTAACAATATTAAGTCTTCCAATCCATGAACACAGGATGTATTTCCCTTTTTTAAGTCTTCTTTAATTTCTTTCACCAATGTTTTGTAGTTTTTAGTGAGCAAGTTTTTCATTTTCTTGGTTAATTCCTAAGTATTTTATTCTTTTTGATACTATTATAAGTGGAATTGCTTTTATAATTTCCTTTTCAGATGGTTTATTGTTTGTGCATAGAAATGTAACTGATTTTTGTGTGACTTTATATTTTGCTACTTTACTGAATTCATTTATTCTAACAGGTTTTTTTTTTGTGTGGAATCTTTTAGGGTTTCCTTACATATAAGATCATATCATCTGTAAAGAGATACTTTTACCTTTTTTTTCCTAGTCTGGCTGCCCTTTCTTTCTTTTTCTTGCCAAATTGCTATCACTAGCATTTTTAGTGCATTTGAACAGAAATGATGAAAGCAGGCATCCTTGCCTTGTTCTGTTTCTTAGAGGAA